TTGGAGCCTGCTTGTGGGATTGCATGTGGGTAGAGTGAGCCGATTGTGGTGTGTGGTGTCGGTTTTAGTCGTGTTGTGTTTGTGGTGTAATGTGATGTATATATGGTATATAGGTGACGTAGTGTTTGGAGGGGTTGTAGATAGTGTGTGTTTCGGTGTGTAGTATGTGTTTGTTTACAATGAATCTAGTGTGTTTATAAGTGATCTAGAGTGTGTATTTTAGGAATGTAGTGTGTGTGTGTGTGTAGATGGTGCAGTGTGTGTGTATACAGGAGTCTAGTGTGTTTGAAGGACCCAGAATGTGTAGGAGAGCTAGTGTGTGTGTGTGTGTATATAACGGATTCAGAGTGTATAAAGGGATCTAGTGTGCGTGTATGATCCAGAGTTGGGTAAGGGATCTAGTATGTGTCAGGAACGTAATGTGTGTGAGGGGTGCTGTAGTGTGTATATATATATATATATATATATATATATTATAAATATGTTCGGAAGTATTGTGTGTGTGTGTGTGTGTGTGTTTGGTGCCGTGGGGATGTAGTGTGTATGTGAAGGGTGCAGTATGTGAGTGCTGTGTGTGACGGGTGTGGGGGTGCTGTGTGTGAGGGTGCTGTGTATGTGAGAGTGATGTGTGTGAGAGTGCTGTGTGTGATGGGTGTGAGATTGCTATGTGTGAGAGTGCTGGGTGTGATAGGTGTGAGAGTGCTATGTGTGATGGGTGTGAGAGTGCTATGTGTGATGGGTGTGAAAGTGCTGTGTGTGATGGGTGTGAGAGTGATGGGTGTGATAGGTGTGAGAGTGGGTGTGAAAGTGCTGTGTGTGATGGATGTGAGAGTGCTGTGTGTGATGGTGTGAGAGTGCTGGGTGTGATAGGTGTGAGAGTGCTATGTGTGATGGGTGTGAGAGTGCTGGGTGTGATAGGTGTGAGAGTGCTATGTGTGATGGGTGTGAGAGTGCTGTGTGTGATGGGTGTGAGAGTGATGGATGTGATAGGTGTGAGAGTGCTATGTGTGATGGGTGTGAAAGTGCTGTGTGTGATGGGTGTGAGAGTGATGGGTGTGATAGGTGTGAGTGATGCTGTGTGTGATGGATGTGAGTGCTTTGTGTGATGGTGTGAGAGTGCTATGTGTGATAGGTGTGAGAGTGCTATGTGTGATGGGTGTGAGAGTGCTGGGTGTGATAGGTGTGAGAGTGCTATGTGTGATGGGTGTGAGAGTGCTGGGTGTGATAGGTGTGAGAGTGCTATGTGTGATGGGTGTGAGAGTGCTGTGTGTGATGGGTGTGAGAGTGATGGATGTGATAGGTGTTAGAGTGATGGGTGTGATAGGTGTGAGAGTGCTGTGTGTGATAGTGATGGGTGTGATAGGTGTGAGAGTGCTGTGTGTGATGGGTGTGAGAGTGCTGTGTGTGATGGGTGTGAGAGTGCTATGTGTGAATATTAGAAGGGATTGTGTGTGTTTGGGTGGTAGAAAATAAAATTAAGCATGCATTATGTCCCCCCCCTCCCCCGCCGCAGGTCAATTTAAATGGACCGGTGAGGGAGAGCTTTGATCTCCCCACCGGCCCTCCATGGAATACAGCGGGGCCGGCGCTCGGATAGCGCCGGCCCTGCATAGACCGGCAGGGGAGATCCTGGGACCTCCCCTGCTGGCCTCGGCCCATGGACACCGCGGCCCACCGGGCATTTGCCTGGTGTGCCCGATGGCCAGTCCGGGCCTGAAGAGGAAAACATGGGGGGTGGGAGATGAGAACGTAGGGGAGGGAGAGACCACTAAAGGAGGAAGGGGGCGGTGGAGAAACCACTAGGGGATGGGTGTGAGGAGAGACCACTAAGGGAGGGGGGTGGAGGATAGACCACTAGGGAAGGGTGGGGGGAGAGGAGAGACCACTAAGGGGCAGGGGAGATCTCTAAGGAATGGAAGGGAGAGCTCTATAGGACAGGGGGCAGGACAGGGAGCTCTTTCACACCACGCACACACACACACACAATGCATCCCTATACACACAGAAACACAACATGCTTCCCTTACACACAGAGAAACACACAATGCAACCCTTACACATAAAGACAATGCATCCTTTGCACATATACACAGAAACACACAATGCATCCCTTACACACACATGCAAACACACACTGCTTCTCTTACACACACACAGAAACACAATGCATCTCTTACACACACTCAACGCACCCCTTACAGACACACACACTGCATCCCTTACATACACAGAGACACACTTTGCATCCCTTATGTATACAAACACAGATTCACACAATGCATCTCTTACGCACAACAAGAAACACACAATACATCCCTTATACACAAACACTCACTGCTTTCTATCCCTTACACAAAAACACACTGCTTCCACTACACACAAACACTGCATCACCAACACAAACTGGTATCCCTATACACTACATTCTGTAAGCACACACATTAGATCCTCTACAGTAACATATAACACATCCCCTACACACTCTACTCCCTGTGAGCGAACTCATGGGTGGAACATGTAGGTGGACTTATGGATGGGCTTTATGGGCATACTCACCGTCAGGCCCTGGGGCCCAGACCTTGAGCTATGTAAGAGGCCCCCAAAAATGGAGCTGCTTCCCGTTCTCCCAGAACATTGAATTTTGTGACCACAGTTACAAACAGCCTCCAGAGATCCTGTTCTACACCAGACCAGTGGAGCCAGACTGCAGCCAGAGCCCATCACCATCCTCATCTGATTGTAAGTAGGCAATCTAGTATATTATTAGTGACACTAATCTCTAATTTACCTCACATTAAATCGACACTATAGTCCCCAGAACCACTGCAGCTTAATGAAGTTGTTCTGGTGCCTATAGTTTGTCCCTGCAGGCTTTTTAATGTAAACACACACTGTGTGCAGCAATGGCACTAGTTCATATGGCAGATCATATGGGTGGGGCATTGCAATGTCCCGGGGGGGGAGAGCAAATTTTTATTTTGCCCTGGGCGTCAAAAATCTTTGCACCGGCCCTGGGCGTAGGAGAAATACTGAGACAAAGTAGTCCCTACTGTGTCTGTATATCTCTTGACTGGTGGGGGGCGGGTGGGGGGCGGCAAATCTTTATTTTGCCTAGGGCAGCAAAAATCCTTGCACCGGCCCTGCCCATGACTCTGGAGCCGGTTCACCGGTTGTTGTTCCTTGTACCACTTTTGTTAGGTGCTAACCAATGCATACCAAGAACACCCCACAAGACTTGGTGCTTTAGAGATGCTCAGACCCTGTCATCTAGCCTTGTCAAAATCACTCATATATTTTCACTTGCCCATTTTTATTGCTTCCAACAAATGAAATTTAAGAACTGGCCAATATATCTCATGCCTTGAAAGGTGCCATTGTAACGCTATAAGCACTTCATCTGTCAGTGGTTTTAATCTTATAGCTGAGTAGTGTACATTGTAAAGTATTTAGGTATTTGTGAGCTCTAGTCAATATACCAACTTGATTTTATGCCCTAATGTCCTTTGCTCACCATACATTCCATTGCATAAATAAATGTGATGTCATTTATGTTTTGGATAGAATTCGGTAGTAAAATGATTAAACATTTTTTTTCATTGTGTCATGGTAATTGTCTTTAATAGACTTTCAGATTGTGTGTCTCTTTTAAAACATATGCATTATGCATGTAGGCAAATATGTTCCACAACCAGTAATACAATCACACAATTATACATATCTCTACATGTACCCTTGTTTTAAGTGTGTACATGCAAAAACACACATAGACATGCACATGCAATAGACAAAATGTACTTATTAAAATCTGAGAAATCATATATGTAAAATCATTAATTTATTCTTGCTAGTGTCATTTATAGAAATTATAATTTGTAATATGCTCATCTAATAATATTCAAGTCTCCCATTGCCCCTGCACTGCTAAGAAAGATAAAGAGGAGAGAGGGGGCATAGATAGGGGAGTAGAGAGAGCAGTAGCATGCAGAAGAGATTGACTGATGCTATCTGAACTGCTTATTAACCTCATCAAAGATGTGCAAAATATCCACCCACAAATGTAAAGCAGTTGAATGTATATTTGCTTTGTGAATGTGTGGTTTTTGCATTTGTTTGGTGTTCATTCTATAATCCTTCAAAATATATTCTTGTGCGTTATTGTAATTTGTGCTTTTTAACAAAATTTGCTCACTCTTTTCCAAGTGACAAAGTAATTTATCTACATTGAGGACTGAATTATTTTAATATAGCATACTAGAATTATATTTTATGTCAGAGCTGGTGATATATATCATACCTTTCATGAAACTTTATAAAGAATAACATTTAATTTACATATTGTTCTATCTAAATTGGTAGCAAATGCATAAATGGAATTTTATTATCAATGCATTTCTATGTATTTACTGTGTTTTACTTCAACTTACTTCTATATCATCGACACGAATGTAAAGGTTACAAATATGAAGTTCACTGGCAACTGCTCCACTAAATGGCGCAGTGACATAATCCACCACACTCAGTATATACGTTTATATACACAGAGGCGTAACTAGAATCCACCGGGCTCCAGTGCGAACATTCCCCTGCCCTCCAGCTAGCTCCTGCATGTGTCTCATTACCGCGCCCAGGCCCCCCCTATGTGTCTCATTCCCTTGACCCCAAAGCCCCTCCATTTGTCCCATTCCCTCTCCCCCCTCAGCCCCTCCATGTCTCCCATACCCTCCTCCCCTTAGCCCCTCCATGTGTCCCATTTTCCCTCTCTTCCCCCTTCCCTCCATGTGTCCCATTCCTCCTTCTCCCCCCTCCCCTCCATGTGTCCCATACCCTCCCTCTCTCCCCCCTTCCCTCCATGTGTCCCATTCCTCCCTCCCCCCCTCCATTCCCTTCCATGTGTCCCATACCCTCTCTCTGTCTCTCCATGTGTCCCATTCTTCCCTCTCTCCCTCTTCATTTGTCCCATACCCTCCCTCTCTCCCCATGACTCATAAAAAAATTCAGAGTGCTCTGTCATTTTACACAGTGTGGGAAAGTTCCAAATAACTTTCCCACGCTGTGTAAAATGACACAGAGCACTCTGATTGGTTGGATTTCAAGCAAACCAATCAGAGTGCCGTGATAGGTAAATGTAGAGACTTACCTGTCAGTCTCTTCATTTACCTGTCAGAGCACTCTGATTGGTTGGCTTAGCATCAGATTTTTTCTTTATCGGCGGATTTGTTTTGCGCTCTGGTTTTTTATTTAATTTTTTTACAAGTTCAGCGGGTATTTTGGATCTTTATTTGGCCTTTTTGTGGGCTGAAAAATAAAGATTTTAGAAAAAAGTAGACATTAAATGGTAAGTTTTATTTTTTTACAGTTATTTAGTTCTTTTATTCCCCCATCACTATTTTTAGGGTGAGAGGGTAGGTAGGGGTTTATTAATTTTTGTTTTGGGTGGGGGGTGACTAGAGGCTTGGGGACCTCTAGTCACCTTGCGGGGGCAGTAACATTTTATTTCAGGGCCCCCATCCACCACTCAGGGGTGAGGGCAGGGGGGGAGGACAATAAGTCCCCCCCCTCATTGTTATTTAGGGCCCCCACCCGCCGCTCAGGGGTGGGGGCCAGGGAGGAACGCTAGGTCCCCCCTTCAGTTTAATAGCCCCACTCGCGCTGCACGGGGCGCTGCACGGGCTGCTCACTGTTCGATAGACATGCCCCTACTCGCGGAATAGCGAATAGGGGTAGAATTTACTAACACTAAGTAACCTTTACCTAGTATTAGTAAATTTGGCTGAAATACCAATTTAGGTCTTTAAGCCTTTTGGTAGATAGTTCCTTAATACCGTGGGAATTAGGGAGTTATCTACTAAGTGGCACGAATAGGATCAGAGTTTAATTTATTCGAATGAAATTCCAATCCGAACAAAGTCCCAAATTGCGTCCTAACACAAATGGAGAAACTGTTCTCATTCTGTTAGGACGAAATGTGTTAGTTTTGCCGTAATTCTATCTAAATGACAGGACGTTCGGGAAAAGTGAAAGGAGGCTTTGCGGGAACACGGAGGAAAGGTGAGAATTGTGGGAAAATTGCTCTGACCACCGGAAATGACGCACTCTTTGCTCCTGCGCTGGTCAGAGATGGTTAGGCGTAGGAAACCTCCATAAGACAAATAGTCCATACTTTGTCTTATCTTTTAAAGAAAACTAGAGCAGACAGGAAGAAATGAACAACAGATCCTGAGAGAGGGAGAACAGAGGAATCGATTAAAGAAAGGTAAGTTCGGCATGACAGTGTCGCTTTAAAGTCTCCATCCACACATTTAGTAATGTCCAATACAACTTTATTTTAGTGTTGGATTTCATCACAAATTGAAAGATGCTTTACATGTTTTGTGATGGGATTCCAGCATGGTCAAAATTTTGTAGGCCGAAATCCCCACATGGCATATGCTAATTAGTATCTGATTACAAATAGTTGGATGAGTCATCAGTATACTGAGCATGTGTGGAAGTGGGTAATAATTTCCTTTGTCTTCAACAAGCCATGTGGTCTGCCCATATAAGGTGATCCTGAATATCCTGTGTGCTGATTTGTCTGAGGAATATAGGAGGGGTTATACTGTATGGGAGGGGATATGCTGCTTACAAAAAGAATCTATACCATGCTTTCTTCTCTCAGATATTTGTGGAACAGGAGTTCATCTGAGACCCGATCGGTACGTGAATAAAGGCCTCTTACTTCCTGAATACCTGTGTCCATCTCACTGTGTTTG